AAAACGAACAAATCTATCAACGATTTTTGAAGTGTATAGCACGGGACAAAAGTGGGTGGAAAACTTAGAATTTAACTTTTGGTTTTTCAGTCGAACGACTTCAAGCCATTTTTGTGAATCAATCTAAAATATAGCACAAGACGTGGGATTTTAGGGTAAATTTCAATTTCCCAGGCAAGATAAAGGAATACTACATATATATAGATCGTAATTGAAAACTCTTGGGGTTTTTCTGGTCTTGTGCACAAATTTGATTTTTAGAAAATTTGTGGCTTACCGCTAAAAAGAATTATGTACTATGAATAATAAATGTGTAAAATATGCACTGTACTTGTGCATGTTTTTAGTCTATGGGCGAGTACATAAAATATACTTTTTTAGCTGTTGCAGAGTAATTTAATTACCCTGCTCATAAGGTATCACGCAAACAGGGTATAATACTGTTGAAACTAAGCATGTAACAGATAGAAGAAGAAGGCGAATGAAACGGACAACATTTTCCATTAAAATATCTTAATTGTTAATTCAGCTAAAATGCTATAATAATAAATAAAATAAATTAAGTATGCTGATACGAAATAAATCATTTTAAAACACAAACTCAGCTATTTGTTAAGTCATCCTACCACTTAGTACAGGGTATCTCCAATTTTTTACCTCGCTTCAGTTGTACGTAGTATATGTAGAAAACACACGAATCGGATGACCACCGGGCATCCCCCTGGGGGAAAGAGGTTTGGGTAGCAATTTTATTTTGTTACGCGCGCCATGCAATAGCGAAAATTATTGTTTTCAATTTTCAACACTTTTAATAGCCAATTAATTAAATGGCCAAACAACAACAAATAAAGGTATATAGTTTCGCATATGTATGTGTGTGTGTGTGTGCTTGTGCACATGTCTGGTAAAAATTTACCGAGCCCGGCAGCAAACAATTTTTTCATAATTGCTGTGCGAGACTTTATTATTTGTGGGGCAGCTGCTGGACAATAGACTCAATTGTTTCATGGACCGGGTAAAACAAAAAAAAAATATATATATAAATAAAAATCGTTATCCAGCGCCGGTCACATAAATCATGAAGGCATTAATATACAATGCCAAAATGAAAGGCCGAGTCGGCAAACTCGAGCACATAATTTATGCTCTTAACAATTGCAAATTATGATTTTTTAAACAAATGTCAGATGTATCGTAAATAATAAACGAGGGGCTAAAGCCGTCAGGGGAGGAGGGCATACCAAAACACTCACTCAATTAACAAAATTACTATTAAAGGGATTTTGCGAGACACCTCCCAACACACGCACACACAGAGACACACACACACACTTGGGGAGAGCTTAATGCGTAGCTTGTTGACCCCCTTAGGATTAGTAGCAAATTGTTGTCTGTCCTCAGCAGGTCGGGCCAGAACGAATGCCAAAACTCAGAGACAAGGACAAGCAACAACTACAGTGCATCTTAAAAGTCTCGTCAAAGTTTCGTATTTACTTCTATGCATGAATTATTTATGGGTACAAAAACCAAGCTGTCTGCTCCCTGGACAAAACTTGCTCGGTTAATGTACCCGGGCAAGCGTTGTTCTTGCTGTTGTTGTGGTTTGTTGTTGTCGTGTGTTAGGTGCCAAAAAGTACATTGGGTGAGTAGGTGTATTAAAAACTTTTCAGCATAGTCATATGTTGAGGCATTCTAAAAGAACTGACTGAGGTCTCGCCCAAGCACCAGCTGGAAGTTCGCCTTTAAAAGCTGTTTCTTATGCAAGACAACCTGCCGAATATGACATACTCTTACAAACATAAGGCAGCTGCGTGTTAAACTAGCTTATCAGAATTAGTTGCCTTTCCTCATGATGCAAAATATAAATATATAAAACAACCATGATGTTATCTTGGACTTTAGGTATTTGGGATACTGCCTGTCGAACTGCGTTCGACTTAAGGAGTGCCTGCCTTATGATATGTGAATTTGTGTTCTATCCATCAAGCTATGTGTGACTTAACGACTATGTACTGTGGACCCATGCCATCTCCGTCTCTCTCCGTCTGGCCGCTGAGCTGACCAGCAAAACAAGTCTCAAAAGTCTTCACCCCAGAGACTAAAGACGTATGCACCCTACCAATCAGCCTGTCATAATTCGAATTGAAGTCAATGCCTACAATCCCCATCTGCTTTCGGTCTTTTTTAAACGCACACGACCGAATATACTATTATTGATTGTACAAATTCTAGACAGAAGTCAATTTTTAATGTTTGTTCCAACAAAAGCTAAAATGATAAACAACGATTTTAAAATAAAAATATATTTATGCCAAAATGTTAAAAATATAAAAAATATTTACAATTGAGCTAAGTGAACGTAGCTTACAAATATAAGAAAAATTTTTATTCAAGAAATCTAATTTCTGTTGATTCTTGTAAACAAGAAATAGTTCGTTTTTATTAAATGTTTCGTAACTGTCGTAACTGTGAAAAATGTTTAAGAAAACTCGAAATAAAATATATATAAATGTGTTTGGGAGCATTTCCGTTGCAGGCATACGATATGCGGCTAAAACTGTCTTTTAATACAGGAAAAACTCTCTTGGGCGTACACCTACGGTAGAACTTCTTTGCCCTAGCAATGGAGAAGCTTCAAGGGTTTTCTTTTCTAGAAAAAGGAAAGCATAAAAAATATTAAAATCAAAAAATATTTGAGAGGTCCGCACGTTGACGGAGGTTTGACTGTAAAATACAGCGAAAATGTCTACAAAACTTAATATAAATAAATGCCCAGCTATATTTAAAAAAAAATGTACTTCCTAACAAAATTCGAAAACCCTCGCTGCAGAGTGTATCACAACTAAAGTGTGCAATGAAAAGTTTTGCGGGTTGTGCCACAGATTCTTTGAGAAAACTTTTCCACCTGGCTCGCTTTGAGCAGAGGTCACCCGCCCACCGGAGCAACTGAAGGTGTGCAATCAAAGCATATTAGAGGACAACAAGTGGCTGACAAAAGCGCAAAGAGCCGACGTCGTTGTCAGCAGTTGGACAAACAAACACTCGAACGAACGGATGACACTCCCCAGAGAACGCACTCGGTCATTGTTTTCTCTTTTTTTATTTTTTGGTAGGCACGAATATGAACATGGCTTTCAAAGGGTATGAGTGCTATAAATTTGACAGGCCCACACCATAAAAGGGTTGAAGCTTGCCAAAAGTGGGCCGTGAGAGCGGGGCGTTGTTTTGACCAGCAATTAAATAAAGGCTCAAAAAGCGCCACCAAGACAAAAGCAGTGAAAGGCAGCCACATTGAAGAAGGGTCCATTGAAGTGGCAGCATTTGTCACTGACAGACGTTTTGGGCTCACAAAATGTAAAAGAGAAAGAATCTGTTAAATTCATAAAAAGTTAAGGAAAACTCGCAAGGAAATTGACGACAGCTGCTTGAAGATACAATTCAATGATGCCGCAGGCAAACGCAATGCCAATCGTATTCATATTATTTGGCTCTAGGCAACAGGTGCAACACGCGGACGATTAATTTTGGCAGAGCTGCCTATTACAATTCTCGTTTCTCTGTCAAACTTTTAACTTGGCTTGAAAAAACAAAACAAAAATTAAACATTCTTAAAAGGTTTTATTCGCACGACTCAGAAAAGGCCTTTAAGTTTTAACGTTTCAGCTTAAGTTTTTTACTTTAAATTTGATTTTTTTCAATAATAATATTAATTTTGGATATTTATGTGATTGCAAACAGATTTAATTGTTTTAACGCATTCAGATAAAACATAAGCCACATGCACTTATATGTGGTATTTATTTTGTTTATTTTTAATTGATTTATATTATTGTTTTTTGTTTCCAAGCCTGATTTACATTTAATCTACTTTATTTTATATTTTTGTATGAACGTGAGTAAGCATTAATATTTGCTTAGCAAAGTTATTTATTTTCTTTTTAAATAATTTTATTCTGAAGTGGACCGTGTCAAAACCGAATCTGGCGCAAAAGCAAAAAATACTTAATAAATATGAATTTTTTTGTTGATAATAAAAAAATTGTTTTATATATACTTTACAGTGTTTTTTTTCTGACTGTTGCATAAGCTTAGACAATTGCATAATACCATTCTATCTGTTTATATGAGTACAGGGTATACAAAAATAGCTGTGCTTGAAAATTGATGATTTCACTGACTTTGTCAAAGGACAATATGCTAAATTTTAGATTGATTATTGTACAAAGAAAATTAATTGTTGTAAAAGAAAAATAAGTAAGAGGTTCTAGTCGGGAGCTCCCGACTAGGAGATACAAATGTATATATTATATTTTGGAAGCTATGTGTCAAGTTTGGGGACTCTAGCTCTTATTATTTACCAAAATTGCCCAAAAAACCGGATATCAATATAGATTTTTATCGATTGCTTGGAAACGGAGTAAGCTATCGATTATCGGAAACAAACTCGACCTGCGCAGGCACTAGGAGCACCTTGAGATTCTGAGATCCTTACGTTCATACATACGGACGGTAAGACGGACAGACAGACGATAGTATAGACAGACGATATATAGTAGTAGATAGTATTTAACATTATCCTACATTTGCAATAAATTTAATAGATAAACCAGAAAGAACGGCTATCTTCGGCACGACGATGATTTAATACCCTTGCAGAACGAAATTTTTCATAATATTCAATATGCTTTGCTCATATCTAAGAAGATAAAGATATCTTGAAATACAAAAAGATTGATTGATAAAGTGAAAAGGTTTTTCCTACAAGAACCTACTTTTACGCCGATCTTTTTTATGGCACCTATATGATATAGTGGTCCGTATAATTAGGGTATAATTAATCCGCATTGAGCTTTGAACCAGCTTGCCCATATACCTTATTGACATGGAACTATTGAATCGACTTAAGTTCTTTGATATCGCTTGACATTTAGAGTAGAAAGTAAGATCTAAATTGCTTAGGCATATGAACATATCAAAATATATACGTTTTTTATACTCACGCATTGGAAGCGGGCGCTCCGGCTGTGGCCCTGCCCGGCACTATGTGCTGCTCGCCGAATCGCCAATGGGCGAGGCCATGTTGCTGTTGCTGTCCGAGGTGGAGAGTGGGCGGCAAATGCCGAGACGCGTTGTGCCCGGCGGCATGGCCTTCAGTATGGCCACCGCATCGTCGAGGTCGAGACCTTGGAGCACATAGTCGCCAACGCTGATAAGACGATCACCCGGAAAGATCTGGTTGGTTGCCTCCGCAGCACCACCGCGTATCAGGCCACGTATCACAATAACACTGCTCTCCGCATCAAGCGGATCCTGATAGTCGAGTATGGAGAAGCCGAAGCCTTGCTCTGACTTGTCAATCTCCACGACTGTCACCTCGCAGCTCCACAGCGCCAGTCCGGACACATTCTCCAAAGATTTGGAACGTTGCGTTGCTGCTCCGGCCCCGGCGCCGGCGACGGCGACGTCAACAGCTGCCGCGGCGGTTGCTGATTCCGTCAGCGTCGTCGAGCTGGATGTGTATAGGGAGCTCTCCGATTGCGCCTTGCTCAGCAGATTCTGCAGGCTCTGATGACCGCCGGGCAGCAGGCTGCGCGACTCGAAGGCCTCCACATTCCGCGAGGTATTGATAATGCAGGGCGCACGGGTGCCGCGAGCACAGACCAGCTTCACGCTAGTCGGCAACTCCTTGAGTATCTTGACCACATCGATGTGACGCAGGCCCTGCAGCTTGTGCTCGTTGACCTGGAGCAGCTCGTCGCCCGGCCGCAGTATGCCCTGCCTGCCGACGGGACCGTCCTCGAGTATCGATCGTATGTAATGATGCGGACGCTTCTCAATGCCGCACTCGACGTCGACGGTGCCCTCGAGGCTGATCCCTAGACCTGAAAGTTTATTTATTTCGGCAACTAAAATTTCACTGTCGGGAAACTCACTTTTCCAGGCCGCCCGCAGCGAGTTGGTGCTGGGGCTGGACAATTTCGGCGGCATGGCTACGGGCGGTGTGGGCGTGGCCGTGGGCGTATTCAACTCATTTGTGGGCGTCTTGCCATGTTCCGGCTGGGCAACGGCTGCAGCGCCAGCCATCAGCTCCGGCTCCAGTTCCTGATCCGGCTCTGGACACTGCTCGTCGGTGTCATTGCCGCTGTCATGATCATGCCCATGGCCATTGCCATTGCCGTTGGTCAGATGTGGAGCACTGTGGTCGCTGCGATCCAGCATATGCGACAGATTCGAATCCACGGTGTCCCGCGAGGGCAGCTCTGGAAAATCCACCAACAGTTGATTGTCGCCAGCATCGGTGACAACGGAGTCCGCATCAGCGGATTTTGGCGGTAGCCAGCTGAGCGTCGCTATGGAGGGCGAGCCGGGCATCGAGAGCTGTGACTGGGCGTCGCCATCGTTGGCACCCGGGCCGACCTTCATCTCCGTGAGCGCCACCTGCAGATGCTCATACTTGCGACCGCGCAGGAAACGCTCCAACGTCAGATGCACCTCAATGTCCGTATTGCGCAGCAACTCCACAGCTTGATGATTGGTCACGCCCGAAAGAGTGCGACCATCGACGGCCACAATGCGATCGTTGATCTGAATCTGGCCGCTCATCTCGGCGGCACTGCCCTCAATGATGCTCTTTACAAATATGCCAGACAAATCCTCCTCCTCGCACACGTACCCGGCCACGGTAATACCCAAGCCGTAGACATTCTTGTGCAGCTCCACGATATACGTTTCGGTTTCGGGTGAGTCCGCGTATGTGGAGGGTGACTCGGAGCCCAGAGAGCAACAGTCGCCATCATCGGCATTGGGCGTTGCCGTCGCCGTCGCCGTCGCCATTGTCGTTGCCAACTTTTTGCCGGCTATCACAGTGCCATCCGTGTGCGCCATCTCCACCTCCACCTCCTCCTCGCCGTCGCCATCGCCATCGCCATCGCCATCGCCATCGCCATCGCCATCATCATTGTCATCATCATCCAGCCAGCGCGGGCCCAATGGCAATTGCAGCGACTGTCGTGCGGTCAGGTGCGCAGTGGTCGGAGGTGGTGACAGTATTGAATAGGGCACAATATCCACATCCTGCAGACACCGGTTGCTATCCGAGCTGCTGCTCGGATTAGTAGGTATGGGCGGCAGCGGTAGATCGGCCAGTTCTGTATCGGGTACGGCTGCGGCGGCGGCGGCGGCGGCAATTGCGGGCAAGGGCAAGGACAGTGGCAAGGACAGGGGCAAGGGCAGGGTCAGGGGCACAAGCGCTGACACATTGCCCTGATCGGCTGTATCGCCAGCCGGGGCGCCAGTGACCAGGCCAACCAGACTACCGACATCCAGTGGAGTGGTTGCCGTAGCCAAGCTCGGATTTTGAAATAAATGCCGCGACAGTTCTTCCGGGTCGGAGAGGAGCTTAGTTGGTATAATGGGCGCATGACTGGCCAGCGTATGATAATCGATGGCCGTCGGCTCCACCGGCCGTGCCACAATCAGACGCACCTGAGCTCCGGTCTGACGAAGAACTGTGGCCACCTGCTCCGAGCTGAAGCCACGTAGATTTACATCGCCAATCTGCAGCAGATGATCGCCCACCTGCAAACGCTGATCACGCTCAGCGACGCCGCCCGGTGTCAGCGCCTTAATGACCACGCCCGTGCTGCGACCGCCCACCAATATAAAGCCCAAGCCGTTGCCATCATTGATCAAATCGATAACCTCCACCTGCGACCATTCGGTGCTCAACACCATGACGCCGCTCTAAGACCAGCTGCTCCTGCTGCTGCTGCTGCTGCTGCTGATGCTGCTGTTGCTCCCGCTTTTTCTACTGCTCCAGTAAATGCTGTACTTGTGGGGTTAACTGTGGCGCCGCTCGAGCTTGCTGCTAACATGACCGCTGGTGGTGCTGTTGGGCAATGTTGTTGTTGCTGGTTGCTGGTTGCTGGTTACGGATTGCTGATTGCTGGTTGTTGTTGCCTTAGTCGTTTTCACTTACGTATATTTATTGTACATATTGCAGTTATTGGATTCATTCACCTTCACCGCATTCAAATAATGATTATGGCCTGGCCGGATAACGGCTCCTGGCACCGTCGACGCCAACAACATTATCGACTACAGCCGCACGCAGCCCGCAAGACGTCTGCAATTATTGGAGAAATACTTTAAGTGCTGGCAGCGCGGTGCGGCGCGGCGCACGCTACGTATACGCAACGCACGTATACGCAATGCCGTGTGCGCGGTGTGTGAAACGTGTATTCCAATTGCTGTCCAGAGCAGACGGCGGCCAACGACTGCTTCTCGATTTTTTTTTTATTTCTTTTTATTATTTTTTTTTCATATTTAGTTTATTTATTTTATTTTTTGTGCGTTGCTGTTGCTTAGGCAGCCGCGTGTTTGAGCGCCTTTTTTAATGGCACCTTTTTTGCACGATTTCGTAATTTACATGCACACACTCGCACGGGCGCACACCTACACCTACACCTACATCAACACACACACACACACGCAAACGCGCGCACTCTCGCTTATGTGGAGCAAATGGATTTTGCCCGCCGTTCACGTGCGACGCATGTTTGACATTCAACTGCGACGCAACATACCAGCTACTCGCCTCCCTCCCCCTTTTGGCGGGCAATTAATTTGGAAAATGAGAAAAACTGTCGGTGTACGCGACAAGTTAGCGGGCTTTAGTACGGACTACTCTGTACTCCTATGCGCCACACACACACACGCACACGCACACTCACACTCACACACACATAGACAGAAACAAATTGCAGTCAACGGTAATTCGAATAAGCTACCAATAAACGGCAACTTACATATACACATGTGTGTGTGTTGTGTGTGTTTTTGTTGTCGGTTTTGGGACCGAATTGGAGCAGAATTCGAAGCAAAACTTTGCTGTGCTTTCTAATCATAATGCGACGCGTCTAGAGATGAACCATAATTGAGCGTTAGGAATTTTAATAGGTATTTAAGTAGTTAACTAAGTTTTCTAGTCATATGCTAATAGTTCTAATAACTAAAAAGCAGGCGCACTTTTGTATATGCATTACAAAACTTCTAGAACTAAACAGAAGATTTATTAAATGCACTTAAATTAAATTAAAAGTAAAAAGAACAAATTCTTAAAAATATATACATAAAAAATATAATAGAATATTTAGTCGAATATTTATTTGGGTAAATTATTTTTTTAAGTTAAGCAACATTTTCCTTTGCTAATTTGAAAGAAATTTACTTGAATTTGATATGAATAGTTTTTTTGGTTTTAAGGCAAGATTTTGATAACAGGGACAAATAAAACCTTTTAAGAATAATGTAATATATCAATAATATATATAACACGCATAACTGAATAAAATAACTATAAAAAATATTTTTAAATTATAACAGATGGTTTATGTTTATAAGCTTCACATCAATATTTTTTAAAATCTATGACTTCGGAATTGAAGCTGGCAGACTTTTAAAATCGTAAACAATTATTCAAAATGAGCACAAAATACACTAACTACTAACTCCAACAGTCAGAGAGTTTCCACAGTTGGCCCTGGTCATGAGGCTCATCTCTATGGGCTGCTAACGAGTTGCAGCTGAACGGTGGCATGATGCCATCAATTTTTTGTGTTTATGACGCTGCGCAACGCTTGCCATTCAACGCTGATTGACTTTGCGTTCAGCCAGGCACGGATTGGCGCACGGGGCGTATGATTAACGCGCGCGCCTGTTTGGCTGGCATTGTAGCCGCTGGCCTTTGTCCGCTGTCCGCTGTCCGCTGTCCGCTGTCCGTTGGCCGTTTTACCGACTGCTCCGGCTGGTTTGCTTTAGCTTTTGGTCATTTGTTTGCAGACCTGCTGGCCCCATTGCCCAGGCAATGTGCTTCATTTAGCTTGGCTGCGGTTGACGAGCACGCAAGTGGGCCGGGGGCCGGAACTGAAGGCGAGTACCATGGCGTGGACGACAGCGTGGACTGTGGCATCCCAGCCCGTTGCACAAAAAGTAGGCCAAGCGCGTTTGAAGTTTACAATGCGTCTGCTTCTGTGTGTGTGTGTGTGTGTGTGTGTATGTGGGGTGGATTTGTTGCTTGTGCGTGTAGGGTCTGCTATTTTTATATGTCACAAATTACGGCCTGCTCCAGCTGCGGCTCCAACTGCTGCTGCTGTGCCAGTTTTCACATTCACATTCTCATTTTCATTTTCATTTTATTGCCGCTGGCCACTGTTGCTTCTTACGCACTTCAAGTTGCTGCTGCTGCCGCCGCCGCTGACCCACTGAGCCTTATTAGCCGGCGCAGCGTTTTGGCCCGCTCAAGTCAAGTGACAAAAATCGATAAATAGCAACAACAACAACAACAACATCATATAGTAGAAAAATGGGACAGATGAAGCTGCAGCCGCAGCCGCAGCCTGGCGTGTTTACTCCTTTCTGTTTTTTTGTGCTTGTTGTTGCTGCTGCTCTGCTACGGCCTACGCCTATATGAATGGCCACGCCCACGCCTAAGCTTAATGAATTTGACTTTCGACTGCTCTATTTGGCTCATAGTTGTTTGTTGTTCTTGTTATTCCTGACTTGGTTTCCGCCGCAGACTGGGGCAAGCTTCCAGCCGCATGACTGTTGCTGTGCGGTTGTGGCTGCGCCTTTTGACCTACCTAAGGGCGACGATGGCGACGGCTTTTAGCCAAATTGCGCGAGCATTGCCTGCAGTTTGGCACACAAAAAATAAAAAAAAAAAAGCAGAAAAAATAAAAAGAGAAGAAACTTGTGAACTTGCGGGCAAAAGTTGTGCACGCAATTACTTAGCAGTTGCTGTCGCCGAGCCAAAGCCAAGTCAGGCTAGTTATATTCTTGCTAAAAGCTAACAACGCGGCGTATGAGCAATGCCGCAGTTTGGTTAAAGCCACGCACACACAGCGCGTAGCGAGTTTTTCTATTGATTTAACAAGCGACGATGCAGCCAAACAAAAGGCGAAACTGTGTGGCTAAGACCCGCAGCAATCGGAGCTGATCTGGGCCACAGCCACAGCCGCAGTCGCAGCGTGTGAAGTGTGTGTGTGCGTGTGTGTGTGCGTGTGTGCGTGTGTGTGTGTGTGTGTGTGTGTGTTGATTCAATTTGAACTGCATTCGCAGCTGTTGCATATTATTAATTTATTTTTAGGGCCGGCTGTTAATTAGCTTTGTGCTTGGCTTTCCGTTTTGGCCATTTTACTCACTTCATCAACACATTGCTCTTGCCCAGCTTGACCAGGCTCGTCAGCTCTGGCTCCACTTCGTTTTATTTACTCTGTTTTTTCTTTTATTATTTACTTTTATTTTTATTTTTATTTTTGTCACTTTTTTGTTTTAATTCTAATCTTTGTGCTTTCTGCTTTTTATCAGTTTACGCGCGCATTTTCCGGCCCGACAACACGCCCGCACGCGACAAAGCTGCTTGGTCAAATGTATTGCCCGCTGGCCAGATTGCCTCTGCTATGCTGTGCTCTGCTCTCTGCTCTCTGCTCTCCGCTCGCACGTGGCGCCTCCACGGGGTGGCCGTGCTCCCTGCGACGGCGCTGTGTGCCGCGTGGCGCTCTCGCTCCCGCTCGACGCTCGACGCTCGGCATTCGGGCCAATATTTACATATGAAGTTGACGCGAGGCGGCAGTTGGCGGCGCCTGAAGTTGCCGCCGCGTAGCATTCATTCAACTATTGCGATTGTGGGGAGAGTGCGTAAGAAAGCTTTCGCCACAGTGCCGCTGTCTAAGATGATTTTCAGTGGGGGCTTCAGAGTATAAATAAAATATATCCTATAATAAATCAGTTTTTCCAGCCATTACGTTTTTCTAAGCATATTTGGTAGATGCACACGCGATTATAAATATAAAATTGCAATATTTAAACCAAAGCCTGGGTTTTTGATGTTAAAAACAAAACTCACGAACCGAACCTTAAGCCAGGGAGTTGACACGACCCGTGAACCGAATTTCCTGACAATCTATTTTAGATTTGCTGCTGATTTGCATTCTGATCAAAGTTTCCAAAAAATAAATTTAAAGAAATTGATAGAATCAAAGAAGGTTCAGGGATTTTACTAGTCAGGCACTCCCGAATAGAGTACTCTAACTTTTTCCAATAGTTTTAAAATAGTTGGTATTATTTTCAAAATTAGCTTACATCATCCAAAATATAGTCAACTTTTTGAACTTTTATATTTAAAGAACGCTAGAAATCTACAAAAGTTATCATCTTAGCAATAATAAAATGGTTAAGCGTTTTATAAAATAATTGATTTTCGAAATGAACGACTTTCGAAATAAGTTGAAGAACCTCTGGCTAAGAAGCTAATTGAACACAATAGACGGACTACAAACAAAATACTGTGGACCAGTGAAATCATTTTTCTCTTATTTTTAACTGCTGTGAAAATTGTGAACCACGTCTCAAATAGATTCTTGGAAATGAAGTTGTGCGCGAAAAGTCACCCACCAAATCTTTGACCCCCACTTCCACCAAGGAGCAATTTATGAAACACCACTCAAATGAATTTAAACTAAGATCGAAAGATCGAAACGAATACGTTTCAAACAAGCTTCTTTCGCGGTTTTTCCACACATACGGTAGGAATTTCCCGAAACCCCGTCTTAACGTGCACCTTCATCGCATAAGGTAACTACTGTTAAAACTGGAGCTTCCTAGCTCTTACAGTTGGGGCTGTGCATTGATCAAGAATCAATCAGTCGGTCAATCAGTCGGTCAGTCAGTCAATCAGGACAAACAGTTTTATATACAGCGATAAATTTATGTGTAAATATTATATTTGCTTTCTCGTCGTATATGTTTAATATATTTGACGAATTATTTGGACAACAAGTGTGTTCCTTCTGGCAGGCGCTAGGGCAATAAACAAACCCTCTGCGCCTGCTCCGTTGTCCACGGCAACCACGGCCAGCAAGGACTACGGACATCCAAAAATAAATATTACCAATTAGCTGAGTTCCACCTGCCAGTGACTAGCAGACGGCTGGCCGCAACACCTCAAGACACTCCAACGTCAAAGAGAAGCACAAACAAGGTGTTGGAGAACTGTTAAACAAGAAAGTGCAGCGGATGTGCAGAGAGCAGCTAACGAAATAAAAGGAAAAGGCATAAAATATTTATTATTCGCAACTATCGTTACATAGCACCTGCCACCTACTTAACCAGAAGCAGTGGGCACAATGGGTTCAGTGCACCGTTTGGTCGCGCCGTCGGTGTCCCACATTCCAGTGAAATGTAGAAAACGTAGTGAGAAATCAAATTCAGAAAACCCAGTAATCGGCGAACAATGTGTCCCGGACATGGGAATATTCTACATTAAATTTCAGTGTGCCCGAAACTATTCTCAATAATACAACTCGATAAAGACATTTATATTTGTTCCTATTATTTTACAAAAATAAAAAAAATCTGGATTGTAACGCAAAAAAACATAAAAATAACACTGATCAAGCCGGACTATAGTACTCGCAGCAATACAACAAAATGACAGCGCCGCCGGTCAACTCTGAGGAAGACTTCTACATGGATGAGCCATTTGATGATGATTCGCCGGCCGATGTTGAGGACGAACCGGAGTACGAAGAGGGGGAGCCAATTGACGAGCAGAGCGATTCTCAAAGCGACACCGATGTCGAGGCCGAGTTTCTGCGCGGTAATGTAAGTGCAACACAGCAGATTCAGCTGCAGGAGCTGACCGTCAAAGAGTTTAGTCTCAACCCTATGGCACTCCCACAGCCACATGCACGTCGTCAACAGATCTTTGCCAAACGCTCGAGCGGCAGCAGCGGATTTGCACGCCAAACCAATATGACCTACGCCAGCTCCTCGTCCGAGGACGAATCACGGGTGGTCATCACCAAGACGGTGGTCGAAGTAAACAATTCAATGCAGCTGACAGATGATGAAACCATGTCGGTGCGCACACTAATTCCAAACAGCGGTAAGAACGGTAACGGGAATCTAACCGAGTTGGAATTGGACGATAATGAATTAACTGAAGTGGAGGACGAGATGGAAAATGAGATGGCCGAAGAGGAAGAAATTGTGTCTGATAATGAATATGATGGCAACGATTTGGCATCCGAGAAAGATGATGTGGAAATAGGGCATTTGGAAGACGACGAAGAGCAGGAGGAAGAAATCGTTGATGTTAAGCTAAAGCAATCAAACAATGATCTAGTCGATGTCGAAGATGCCAACGAAAGCGAAACGGAGGAGACGGCTCAAAGCGACCCAGCAGACACTGAGCTGGGAGATATGACTATGCCAGATAATCAAAATGTGACAAAACGACAAAAAAAGAAGCGTGGACATCAGTACCATCCGAATTTACTAAGGAAACCCATTGTGGATGAAGATGCACCACTGGTGCCCAAGCTGGAAAATATCTATGATGACAACGGGGAAGAGGTTTATAATCTGGACGAGGATGGACTTGCAGCAGGTGATCCGCTAAATGTCAAGTTTCTGGAACAGCAAATGACACAAATGTCGGAGATGATTATGAAAACATTCCGTCTCAATGGCGGCTCCGCAGACAACAGTGCACTGGAACAGCTGGCATTGGCCACAAAACTGATGAAAAAGCAAGGCAAGAAACTGTCCGAATTGGATGTGGATGACGAGGCAGACTCACTGGTGTCTGGCAAAACTTCAGCTACGGTGCTCTCGGAAAAAGTAGGACGTGGCAACTGCCGCTGCCCGTCAAGCATAGACATTAATGAGTCCGAACAGGATGTGTTTCTGATGGATGAGTGCGGCCAGGGCGATGGCCTGTTGCGCTATTCACATCATAAACAATCCCAATCGGCTCGCATCAACAGCCTGACACCCAGCAGTTTCAACAGTGACAACAGTGGATTTCATGCTGAAGTTCGGCGCCCGCGTTCCGTTGCTTCCTCAGAAGTCAAGTGAGTAGCGTCCACAGCCCTTATTCATATGTATAATTCGCTTCCTCCAGCTACAAGAATTTGGGACGCAAGAGCTTCAGCTTTACCAATCCACAAGTGCGCGAAATTGAACGACAGAATAATATTTTGCTGAAGAAAATGATGAACGTTAAACCCACAATCAAGCCAACCATTAACGCAACCAAATCCAACACTAATCTGCAAGCAAAGGTGAGCAAATCTATGATGGAATCCAAGTATTTGATACAATCTACTTTACAGAAGCAGGCGCCACCAGCGCCACGCTTGACAAGCGCTGCGGTTAATCGAAAGAAATATCAACGTCAGATCGACTTGGATAATGATGTGCTCAAACGCAAGCTGGAGGCGGTTGGATCACGCCGGCCCATATTCAAGTGAACGCGCATCTGTTCATTAATATAATTATTATAATTTCAGAAATGTTAAAAAGCGAATTTACCAAATTAAAATTTAATGCAAGTTAAGAGCTGTAGTAAAATTATATAAAATAATATGTGGCGTATAAAGTGGTATCAGAAGTACAAATAATAAGTGAGAGCCTTAACAAAAATTGGGTTATAGGTATAAAAGAATACATGTATAATAAAAGGTGCAATACAATTGGAAATAAAATTTAAATAACTAGTTGAACATTCAGGGTTATGCTTAAACATGTGTAATAAAAGATTGCTGGTTTCGCATACATCTGCTTTAAAGTGTCACCTCGTTGATTTTGGCCAAAAAGGTTTCGCCCAGCGCCTTGACAGCCTTGAATGCAGCATCGCCATTTTGGTCCTTAAACTCGGCCTCATTTTTCAGCTTCGTCTTCTCGCGCTGCTCAATATCACGATAGATGACTTGACCAATCTAAGATGTTTTGGCATTAGGCAATGGTTGAAATTGCAAACTTACTTCTATACTCACATAAACATCTATGGCCGCATACATCAGTTGATTCTCGTCCAGCGGTATCACGTGCCATTTGCTCATGCGCACCTTTTTGCTCTTGTCCATCGCCTTTTTGGCAATGAAGTTCGCCAATCGCTCCAGGCTCCAGCGACCGCCTGTCTCGCAGACCTCATTGCACCATACGCCCAGGTCGATGCATTTCTCGATAAGGGGCTCGGCAGCCACTTCGGGGAAGTCGCGCTCCAGCTTCCGAAAGTCGCTAAAAAGTCTTTATTCTGAGTATATCCATTTATTTTCTCGATATAGTATACTTACGCCTTTATATTCACGCCATGCAGCCGCACCTTAGAATGGTTTAACAGCGCAACCAGCGCAGCTGGTATCCTCTTCAGTTTGCTTAACTGGTAAACATAGCAGCAACGTTCCTCGACGCATATTTGTATCACGGATGATTTGCCGGGTCCGGTTTGGAAAGAGAACGGCCACTCCATGTCAAAGGCCAAGGGTACAACATCCGCATTAGTTTGCTTTTCTACCCATTGCCTGCAAAATATAAATTAATAGCTTGTACTTTCCAATGAGGTGTCTGCACTTACATGACTTCATCTGCTGAGGCTGCAATCTCGTGGGATTCGGTATAGTATTTGATTGCTCCGCGATACTTTATAAATGGCAGCTTCTCTGGAATTTCTTTCTCTGGCGAAGGCGTTCCGTCCTCAGCCATTGATCGCGTGCTGCGCGTCAGGCGAGCGCTTCTGCGCTTGGGTGGGTTTTCTGTATCGGCGTTTTCCTTGTCCTTAATCTAATATACACAATCATATTTCTTTATTCTTTATAAGTATCTAGTAAATTACTCACTATTTCCGGCGTATCTTTATTCTTTCGTTTATTAGCAGTTGCAATCTTTTCCTTGGCATCTTTGGTTTGCCTCGTTGTGTTTTCCTTAATAGGTATATTCTTTAACCAAATTAAATTAAAATAAGCTTACGTTCCTTTTGTTTGATTAGTTAGACATACCTGCTCCGTTTTATCATTATTTTTGGATTTTGTAGACATTTTAATTAAATACTGATCCATTATCTTTTAATATTTTTGTTTACTATGAATTGCCGCCAAAATATTTGACAGTGCTGAAAAGCGTAATATCTTAGCGTCTTTTAAGTTTCCACACACGCATTAAATTTAGCGATATGCAAAAATATCGATAGACAAGCACGAAAAAAACAGGTAAAACACTTTATTGAAATCACCATGAGGTCGTTTAAAGTACATTTAAATTATCTTAAAACCAATCTAAAAACATAACAGGTACATAACGTAATAAATATTCAAAACAGTCTAATGCGGGATTGGCTACTAATCGATAATGTGTGGAAGCAGCTGTGCACTGTTATAATGCTGTTGTCGCAAAGTGCCCGAATTTGAAGGCATTTTAACAGCTCGGCTCAAATTTGAGCCGTTTTGCCTTTACAAGACTGTTTAATAACAGTTCGACCAAATGTTAAGCTGACTGTTGCCAAAAACATATGTTTTTGCCCACAGACCGGCAGCATTTTAGTTATTTTGTTTTTCAATTAATAGTTAAAATTTATAAAAGAAAGAGCATCAAAATGTCCACAACAGTTGGTGCCCACTACATATCAGAGAAGATATCAAAGGTGCGTTGGCTGCCAGAGAAACTGCAGCAGAGCGAACGCTTCCTGACCGGCAGTTGGGACATGGACAACAATTTTGTGCGCGTGTGGCGTCTGCACGCCAATCCATACGCACAGGGTCTAGAGCATACACCGCGCTGCAACGACAAAGTGGCAGTCGAGGGTGATGTCACAGGCTTGGAGTTTCTCAACGATGATACCTTCGCTGTGGGCTGCGCCGACGGTAAGCATTGAAAATAGGTTAAAAGCAGTGCATTTCTATATTTCCATATTCATGCAGGCCACCTGAGCTTGTTCCACGTGCAACGAGCCGTTGAGGAAGATCAAATTCAGCGCAAGGCACGCAGTGAACGCCTCCACGAATTCAAATGCAGTCAAACTAGGGCACCTTGCACGGCAATCGCGGTATACGGCACGGACATAGCCACCATTGGCGAGGATGGACGCCTAAACGTTTTGAGTGCCAACAATTTGAAGCAGGTGAAGCGAGCTATCGACGCGGACAGCATGACACTCTTGGCCGTATCCTATGTAAGCCAGCATCAGCTGGTGACCGCCAACCGAATGGGTGTCATTCGCATGTTCGATGTACGCACAGCCGGCGATGGACAGCCAAAAGCCTCATTTATGGCCGCTTGCCAGGACACGAAGAGCTCGAACTTTGTCTCTGCGATGGCCACACATCCCATGCAGCAGCACATACTCATCTGCGGCAGCGAGGAGGGCTCTATTACAGTCTGGGATCTGCGCAATTTGGATTACCCGGCCTCATATCTGAGCGCACACAACAGCCCCATCACCGATATAGGATTTCATCGCCAGGATCCGTCCAAGCTGTTCAGTGCAGCCGAGGCCGGTGAGGTGTGGATGTGGTCGGAGAAGAAACAGCACTTTGATGCCAGCCAAAACGATGGCAGTAGCGCCTGGCTCTGCGGTGATCGTCTGCGCACCATGGTCAATGTTGATGGCGTCCTAACCAACATACGCAAAGCGGTCAATTCATTCGATGTTCATGGCTCAAGGATGGTCTGTGGCAGCGATACGGAAGCTGTTTATATCGTAAATGATGTTTAAACATTTCTCGATTTCTACTGCATTTAAAATACATTTATACTTCTATTAAATTTTTTGCTTCTGTTATTCTAACTTGAATAGGCCAAATGAAAGGAATTGTTGGAGGTCGCATAACATTGTAGATGTTTGTTATTGTCCAGCCGACGTGCGTAGAAAAACGTACTTCTTTGGTCAACAAAGTATTTCTTTTGGCAAAGCGTATGTTAGTCCTTTAGGAGGTAGTAATTTTGGGACAAAATATCTAGACATCTTTCTAAAATTTATATATATATTCTTGACCTGTTTTAACAAGCGATATTCTGATACATAGCTTCTCTGGGTATTTAATGTTCGGCTTCGCAAGAATTACAAATCTATCGTATTTTATAGACTTGTGGCTGGTCATTTCAACATCTTGGGATAACCATGCTTAAAGAAATCAATTTTAAATTAGTTAACGACTGTTTGTATATTTTATGCATTTAATTTCAGTATACGCAAAATTGGCTTAAATCAAAGCACCTGACTTATATATACTATTTATGCCTACTAATACAACTACATCTAAATATACAATGTCTTAAGTATATATTTCTGGGTGCTGCTGTGTGGTAACTAACAAAGAGAAACCAAGAAAATGTAGTTACAAAATTATTAATTGTTATGCCAAATTTTAAATATAATTATTAAATATTTTAAATCTTCGAAATTGAACAATTTATATTGCAGATCAAACTCTTTACAGCTGAATATAATCAAAAAATAATAAATAAATATTTTTTAAGAATTTTTAAACGTTTTTTATGATTTTTCCCAGAAGTTGGATAAAATAATTTTGAAAAATGAACTTCATATTCATAGTTCTATTGCCTAGGTTTGTGTAGACTTAAGGTAATATTATTAGTTGGCTAATTTTGGATAGATTTATGCGTGTTTTTCAACTACCATATACATACACATACGAGTTCTAAACTAATGCGATATTTTGTATATATGCTATGTGAATAATAAATACAAAATGATTTTTATATACAACTAAGCACTTAGGCCTCGATTAGTTTTTGTTTTTTTTTTTTTTTTTGTTTCCTTCGTGTTTGTCGATTTCAATTAAACTTTGAGCATTTACAATTGCATTTCAATGGGGCTTTTAGAGAGCTGAAGTCAATTAATAATATTAACTAGAGCTGCGATAATATGTAAAGCTTATCGAGGCTGCAAAACCGTTTCCGAACCCGGATCGAATCTTAAAGCAAAACAACTGGTCATAAGAAGAGCCGATTTTTACATGTTATTTAAAAAAATGATTTGGTTCTTATCAAAATAAAAAAGAATTCTTGAGGGAAAGCGAGCCTCAAGGCATAGATAATTTGGGTCAACCATTGCATTTATCTAACAATATTTGTTTGAATAGGGCGTTAACGAATCCATTTTTTATCAAAGAACTATTAAAGATTAAGAATTAAATTATTTCAGAAATATTTAGAAAATATGTGACAAATATATCTGAACTAAGACCAGGCCAACCAGATTCACGAGACAAAACTCAAAGCAGAAAGCTGGTCAAACTGTCAATTAAATCAAGGACGATCGTTTTTTGGTTTTGCAGTCCCGAAACTAATACATTTATCTTCTTTTGAATGCTTTCTGGAACAGTATTCTCTCCAGGAAGTGCTCTAATCTGTTTTTTTAGAGACCACTTCAAGTTCTGCGGGCTCTAATAGAAACGCTCGAATTTGGGTGGCTTGTTGAGTGCGCAAAAATAATACCCTGAATAGTTTTGTGTAGCGCCGGGTGGAGTATAGTCGCTGATGCTGTAATTCCCGTAGTCATAGTTGGCCATATGAGCGTGGGCGTGGTGATGCATGTGGTGTGGGTGCGTATGTGGATGCGCATGTGGATGCGTGTGTGGGTGCGTGTGCGGGTGCGTGTGCGGGTGCGTGTGCGGGGGATGATAATGCTGAAAACCGCCTGCACTGCGCGGCTTTTGTCATGTAATAAGACCGCTTCCAGCCCCGGCAGAGCCGTTAGCACCGCTGCCGCTGCCATTGCCGCTGCCGTTGCCGCTGCCACCGCCAGCGCCGCTTCCATTCGCGTTGTTGCCATGAACGCGCATGTGCCGATTCAGGTTGCCCGATTGCGAGAATCTGTGCGGCAAGAGTTGTGGGAGGTGAGTTATGATGCGGTTCCAGTAGCTGTTTCCAGTCGAGGATTTTGATTTGAACTCACCTGAGCAAGCACAATTTGCATTGGTAGGGCTTCTCGCCGCTGTGGATGCGCAGATGTTTGGTCAGCGTGGAGCTGTCCGAGAAGGACTTCTTGCAGGATGAGCAGCGATAGGGCCGCTCTCCAGAATGGGTTCGCATGTGCGTGGTGACGCTGGAACTTTGCGAGAAACGTCTATCACAAATGGGACAGCGGAACGGCTTCTGCCCCGTATGTGTGCGTACGTGGGCCGTCAAATTGGCGGCCTGTGAGAAGCTCTTGTTGCAGTCCGGACAGCGATACGGCCGCTCCCCGGAATGGGTGCGTAAGTGCGTCTTCAGTGTGCTGGGCCGCGCATATGTCTTACCGCACAGGCGGCACAAATTCGGCTTCATATCGCCACCGGCGCTGCCCTCACCATCGGCATCGGCATCTCCATCCTCGATGCTCTCCTCCTCATCCTCAAAGGCAGCCAGACCCAGACTGAGGGCGGCTGCCTGATAGCTGGGACTCTTATGTGGCGGCGTATAGCCCTGGCCAACACCTCCTGTCGCATAGTAGCCCAAGGCAGCTGCTGTACTAGAGGCGGGCGGCGATGGCGACTCCTTGTCGGCCAGCGAGGGAAGTGCGCCTAAAGCTGTCGGCGGCGGAGCCCGAAAGTCAGCTGTAAAGGAATAGGTGGCCGAGGCTGGATAGTGCGTAGGACTCAATAGCGGCGGATAGAGCACATTGACAGCCGCCGAGGAGTTGCTCGGTGGCGTCCAGTTCATTTGGGAGCACTGCATGGGCACTGGGCCGCCGTCGGCTCCATAGCCGTGATGCATGGTCATGTTCATGCTCACATTGACACTCATACTGGGATACATGGGCGGTGCGGGCGCATTGGTGGCGGCCTCGTAGTAGCAGGCGCTGCCTGAACCAGATCCACCGCCACCACCAGGACCATTGCCACCGCTGCTGTTGTGGTTGTGGAGCGCGTTACCACCGTGCGATGCCTGGGTCAGTGCCTGCTGCATGTGCTGGGACTGTAGCTGGTGAGGATGTGTAGATGACTGCGATTGCTGCTGCTGACTGCCGTTCGGTGAGATCAGCATCTGATGCGGATGCACGGTGTAGGAGAGTGACGCCTGATGCGGGTTGCTTGCGAAATTATAGGACGCACCACAGGGCGAGAACGGGAATAGGCTGGGCAGCGGATCAATATCCAGCGGCGGTAGGCCGGGAAATGTGGAGGCCATCTCGTCGGTGCTCCAGTAGCTGTTGCCGTTGCCAGCAAGCGCGGCGCCGTTGTTGTGATTGCCGACGCCGCTCCCAGACGCTGATAGATTGCTAGCCGGCGGTGTTGTATTTATCTGACTGCCCAGTACGCCAATCGTTGGATCGAAACAGCCGCCGCAGTCAAAGTCGCTGCTGGTCAGGGAGGAGATGGGCAGGGCGGTGTTGCCTTGGCAGGATAAACAGCCAACGCAGGATGCAGCGCACTCTTGCTAAAAAGGCGAGAGATACAAATGTGAATCTCTTCAAGTGTCCGACCATGCAAATATTTTGAAGCGCGAGAAAAATACCTGCGGACTGTCCAGTGCCAGGCCGAATAATGGATTGTTGGGCACGTAGCCCGTTTCTGGTTCCACAGGACCTCCGTTTGAGACATCGCACGATATGTACATAGCTCCACCCTCTTGATCTTCCAGGGAATCTGCGCAGGTGTGCCCAAAAATAAAAAAGCGGAGAGCAAATCATTGGAAAGATGCTTGAAAGCGACGCGTAGTTGGCAAATGCAATTCACACAGTGCACAACTAACTGCGGCCCACTGTGCGCCGCGCAAAACTCCGCCCCTAAATACACACAAACACACACATGCACACACACACACACAGAAGCGCACAAATGAGCAAACGCGACGCCATTTGCTTTGCTTTTGCCTATGCTCTCAGCTCTCAGCTCTCGGCTCTCGGCTCTCGATGCGCAGCGTGGTGCTAGTTTGGTCAACCGGGTGGAATTTAAGACTTACCCAGAATTATGTTCAAGAGTTTGGAACCTTTATATAACAATCCCATGACATGACTCCAGCTGGTCTTGGCGTTTTATTTCTCGTTTTTCTACGTTTCATTTTGCTGCATCAATTGCCATTTCCAGCTGTAAATTAACATAAATATGTTCCCATTTATTAATTTATGCAAATTTATGAATTGAGAGATCAGATGAAAGCACAGCAGTATAAACTCTATGCCCAAAATAAGTATTAAGGAGACATAGATTAAAATATCAAAACTAATAAATCGAAAACTTCGATGAACAACACTTTTTTACACTGCACCAGAAACAAAACTTACTTTCTTAAAAGACATGAATAAAGAAAGAAAAAACTCAAAACATAAAGTTTCTGTTTATATGAACTATTTTGTAACAATTTTCGTCAAGCGAGTTGTTCAGGCCATATTTGAAACTCGAGGGAGGTATATGTATGTATTGTATTATAATATTATAACTATCAAACGCCATAGTTCGATTTACTCGATTTACTTTATATACACACCATATTTATAAAATATATGCCATATAAACTATGTTTATAAAAAACTCTTATGGTATGGACTATGCGCTTTTACCAATCAGTCAGTCATTAAGTCATTAATACATATAAAGATATAAAATATGTATCACATGAGCCGTAGACTAACAAAAATCCGAACTTTGTTTTTGGGCTGGAAATATTGGCGCTGGCAGGTCGCATATATATCCACTTAAGGTGCAATACAATTTATTAATAGTTAGTTAAGCTTCTTTCCAAATTATATTTTTCGTTTTTAGCGAATTTAAAAAATATTCTAATTTGTATAACAGTTGCATAAAGTTGCACTTTTATTGGAACATTTGACAACATCAAAAACTTTTAGGCTAAATTAAATTTTAGGGCTAATCTAATTCAAACACTTATATTAGCTGAAGATGTCACTTGTTTGAAAAACTATGTAGTCCCGTCATAAATGTGCTGTATTTATCACAACGGAACGTTTTCTCAGAGTAAATTTTTTTAAATTAAAACTTCAAGTAAGATATTCAATTTCCACTGTTCCACCATATTGCTTTTGATTTAAGTATCTCCATCCAAAATTTGGTCCCATCTGTCGAATATCGATAGACGCATTAACCTAACCTAGCCCATGCTATAGATATTATCTTTTAGGCAAATATTGTCATTTAACTGTGTTCTAAAGTTACTTTGAGATAAATAGTTATGGTTATTAATTAGTTGACATACACAATTTTAAAAGCTTTATAACAAAATAAATATATTTTCAAGACATTCTTTAGAAGTTTCTTCTATATATAATAAAATAAAATTAAATAGTGTATTACAAACTAATTTCAATATAATTTGCAGCTTGAAATATTTATTCACAGCAAGCAACTTCGTTAAGAGACGAATCCTATATTTTTTTTGTATCCATTTGTTTTGTATATCCAGTTATTGAAAAGGATTTTGAAACACAATATGCTTATAGTGTAAACATGTTTTATTTTATTTTTCACCTTGTTGTTAAATATATAGCTCGCATGGCCAATTCACAGCACTGTATATATATTAGATGCTTACTATAATTAATATCAAATATATATATATATCACAACTTTATGAATTTCGGTAAATAACTTCAATCGACGTCGGTCGCTAGGCTCACGAATGTTGGATTTTCCTTTTGTATTTGGGAATTGTTGTTTTAACTTTACACACTCAGCTAAAACGCGGGGGCGGGCGGGCAATTATCGACTATCGGCGACGAGCATAAGACTGCAACTAATTGTCAGTCTCGGCTCGAAGTCTCTCGACCGATATTGGCGACGATTCCCGTGTCAGGCGTCAGCGTCAAAGCGACAACCACAGAAAAAATGCTCACTTAATTACAAACCAGCGAAAAAAAGGGCGCAAAAGGCAACCAACAGCAACACACACACGCACACTACTCTCTATACACAACAGATACAATGACACAAACTGCCCAACTACATGCCATACTATCACATATGAGAGACCCTTACAGCAGTGTGTTGCTCTTGTTGCTGCTACTGTTGCTGTTAATGTTGTTGTAGTAGTTGTTGCTGTTGTTGTAGACACCCCCTCCCGGCAGCAACCACCGTCGCCAGCAACACCACCAACACGACCAGTCAGCCAGTCAGCCAACCAATGCGCTCCGGCCTACGTCTCCGGTATGCCGGCTTTTGCGGCGACTACTGACCCAACCCCCGAGCCCGTCAACAGCCCATCCAAGAGGCTCATTCATACGTAGCAGCAGCAGTTTTCAGTAGTTTTTAGTTTGTCACCCAATATCTTCGACAGTTCGACACCAGATACCCCCGAGCCGGTGGCCCCCAGGCCTGGCCCAGCCCGGACAGCGACCATTGATCGTCTCTTGAAGCGGCGTCAACTGCAGGCAACGTCGGCGGCTTTCTGCTTCCTTCGTTCCATTCTTTGTGGTTAAACATGTTTGCCTCTGCCACTGTGACAGTCCATCAGTCTATCAGTCCATCGGTCTGTCTCACTCACACACTCTGGTAGCAACCCTCTGCTTCTGTATCTTGTATCTTGTATCTTGTATCTTTGGCAGCGCACATTCTCGTTTCTAGCGACCAATGACAACTGTGTCTGAGCTCCGCTCGATTTAAGCGCATCGATCGTTGCTCTTTCGCATAGTTACAACAACCAGAATTAGTTTGCGACATTCGATATTTCGTTTTGTGGTTGTTTTATTATTATTATTATTGCAAAAAAGATAAAGCAAATCAGAAAATTATGAAACATTAGGTGCTAGGCTTGGCAGCAGCACCTCCTGGCTAGCCGCGGCTTTCTATTTGCAAAGTAACTTTAAGTTCGCACGCAAAAATTGGCAACTAATTAAATCAGTTAAGTGTAAGGGCTTTCAGTGATTGCTCGGGTATTACCATATCATTTTACAATATATTGGTGGGAATTTTCAGCCGAGCGTCGTGTGTGTTTAAAGTTTTGGGCCACATAATCAATGTCTGCGGCGGAACACTAACCAGTTTGTATGCCCTTTTAGTGGGTTTCATAATTTAATCACAAGCTGTGTAAGGCATGGAAGGAGAGAGGTCGTCTTGATATATATGAACAGATGTCGTAATCGGTTTGGTCAGCCTTTTTAATAAGGATCGGTTAAACACTATATTATCAAGATGTATTGATCAAGCCTCGTATTTACAGTTCTTATCAGTGGCAAAACCGTTCCAAATCGTGCTATATTATATAGTATAGTACTATGTATATACGCTCGTAAAACTATGCCATAAAAACCCACAAGTCTGAAAGGGTATTTAATATTCGGCATGTCGAAGTCGGTCGTTCTTTCTGCTTGCTCTTGGCTACAACAGCGATCGGTTTCAACTTGTCCAGGATCTGGGCTGAGCTTGAGCCATGTTTTGCTGCCGATTGTCAGAACGTATTAGGCTCAGGATCGCAGAGCACAGAGCACAGAGCACAGAGCCTGGTAGCTGCTTGTTGCCCTGACTGGGCTATCAATAACAATTTTGGCTTGTTTACGATGATTAGAGAGGAACGCTTAGGTTTCAAGTGTGCTCAGGTGTCAGCTGTGCACACCACACGCCCCGCCAACCAAGTGGATTGCTTAGACGCCTCAGTCATCTATCAATTAACCACAAAATTCTTAAAAATTGTTGCCGTTGCTGGCATTTGTTACATCTACTATAAGTAAGTGGGCAAACATTGCGCGGGCTCGAACCACCACCCTCTATTGTACCTGTTATCACACCAGCGCATCATCGCTATCAACTGGCCAACGGCATAGTTGTTTACATTGAGCTGAGCCCGGCCATTATTTATTCAAAGTATTTGCTCCTGGTTACGGTCCTGCCGCTGGTCCTGCTGCTGGTGCTGCTTCTGATTTGCAGCACAATTGTTGCTGCTGCCCTGACTCCAACGCAAATTCAGTCAGGCATTCGTTTCATTTGCGCTGTGTTCTGTATTCTTTTTTGCTCGGCGCGGTGTTCTGCGTTCAGAGGCTTCAAAAATCAATGAAATACTTTTCGGGTGGCACTCTTAGGGCTTCTCAGGCTTGGCTACACTTTGCTCTTATGATGTTGGCAGTCAAGTCATTCAACATGCTAATATCTCTGGTTGCCACTGAATTACTATAATAAACATATTCAATTCGAGAAGGGGCAACAGCAATTAGCCCAATTATACTTATGTGTTTCTTAAATAGATTTTAGTTGCCATTTGTTTTGCTAATCATAACTAGAATATCTTCAAGTTTCGCATTGCCAAACTGATAAGCTCTGTGGAATCAAGTTTAGCGCACTCCATTTGCTCGCACTTGCTTTTTTACAAAATTGAGGCAATACTAACTTTAATTTTACGTCTTGTAAAATATAAATCTAGAAGTCAAATATTTAAAGGCATACACTTATTTTGGTTACTCGCAAAATAAGTAAGTTATGGGCATGAAGGGAAAGTGGACATGGATTTTGCGAAATATATGACAAAGTTGTAAATCGAACTAGCTTTGGGTTTAGCTTAAGGTTAGGAATGGTATTTGAATGACAATTAACAAAAAAAAAAATAGTTGCCATAACAATGGACTTTTAACAGTAATATTTACTGCTGAAACCCGCAGTTTATCAGTATCAGATATTCCTGTCGCAAGCCCGACTCCAAGCGCATAAGAATATGGGCCTGTTTCGATTTGCTCTTCTAATTGCGGTTATACACCAGTATTTATTCCATGCCTGGAGTCTCTCGCATTGAACAGACTCAGTATACTCTAGATCCCTTTTGTTACTTTATGAACAGAGTGCAAAAATCGGTCAAAATATTTTATTAAACCAGCTGATATTAGCCAGTTCTGCCAGGGCTAAGCTTTTGTCTTCAAATATTTAACATTACTTTTCCCCGCTGGTGAGATATTTATTTTTTTTTTTATTTCCCTACAGAATAGTTTATAGCTGCTGAGACCTTTGCTTCGTGATAAATTTAATATGATTTAGATACTTGAAAATGTATTTGAATTCAATCTCGGACATTTTTCTCCCGGAATGTGAGCAACAAGGGTATAAAGTTGAGAATAAAGCCGAAATATATGAACCGCATTTCTGTTCAAAGGAAAAGAGAATCTGAAATGAATTTTCTCAAAAATATTTAAAAAATGAAGTCAGTTAATCAGGACAGTCTGTTTCATATAGATGTATAATTCTTATGGCAGCAATATTTGTTATATCTAAGGGAAGTTTCCGGGTAATGTATGCATAGCTTAAAATAATTTCAGAAAATGTCCCAACAACTGTCACTTGTGCTTTATATGTGAGGCCACTGACTCCTACAACCAACAGCCCACAACACACACACACACACACACACACACACACACACACACGTCATTCTCCGGCTGCGGAAAGTATCGATGTCCAATTGACAGTTGCAGCCGTTGCGGCCGTTGCAGTGGCACAGGACTCAGCATTGCTGACAGCTGGACGAGCCGGGATCCGAGTGCGGCTCATAGCCCATTTCTTATTAAAAACCTAAGCCTGCTTATTAAATAGCGACTTATTGCTAACTGAAAGTGGCCAATGTGACAGTTTGTGCAACTGCCAGCGGACAGTGGCAGTGGCAGTGTCCTGTGAACAGCCCCAAAACGACTTGAATTACAGTTGGAACTGGGACTCCGAAATATGTTTTGGTGGATACTACGAAATTACACTTGAGTGAAGCGCGCCAAATTGAATTTGTAAGACGATACTTTCAAGAGGCCGCAAGAAGCAAGGGTTCGTCCCTTATCAATGGGTAAAGTTCCTCGACGGACGGTCGGTCATACGCATGGACGGAGGATCGGGGAGTCGGGGTGTCGAGGGGAGGGCGGGCAGTTACAACAAGCCAATGTACCAATAAAATGCATACGCTGTCTGCTACTGTTTTACGTTGTTTATTTTTTTTTTATTAGAGAATCACTTCCGCAAACAAATTTGCTGCAAATGGGCCGATGACAATTTCTCACAGCAGCAGGGGGCGGCACAGTTTAGAGGGTGGCTATTCACGGCCAATTATGCTAGCTGCCACGTTTCGCTATCAGCGCAGACAAACCGCAAATGATTATCCTGTAAGCCTTTGGATAAATATTAAATTTCAATTATAGCCGTTAACATATTATTAGCCGGCCATCATCATCGTTGGCGCCAGGCGCCAGGCGCTAGCGGAACCAGAAGTCACGTGTCAACCAGTCGCTGATAATCATCGGGGCTCAGCAACCGCAGAGGGGTGCCATCGATTTGGCAAAGAGACAATGAGATGCGCACGCAATTTTATCAGATTAAGACCCTCAACGGCAACAATCGTGTCCCTCGGGTGTATCCTTTGCGGCCCGCTCGCCTTCTCTCTCCCTCTCTCTCTCTATCTGTCTTTCTCTATCACTGCATTAAACCGCCCTCAACAGGTGACAAAATGAGCAAACATTGTGTGAGAATTTTTTTGGGAGGGGGGGGGGCAGTCAGTTTAGCATTCTTCTTTGGCCATATCAAGTTTCCGATTGACGCTGTGATTTGTCGTTTTTATTAATTCTCATGAACTGAAATTGAAACTCCTTAAGAAAGTCGAGCAAAAAGCTCAAAATTCAACATAGTTGACTTTCAGAATAAACAGAAAAGCGAATTAAGCATAACTATGGAACTAGTTCTTAGCCAACAGTCTAATCGACAGCTTGTCTAACTGAAATAAATACCAAAAAATACCAATAACAGCAAGCGACAATAGCATTAACATTTGCAGCACTGTTAATAACA